TTACTACCGTAGAAGCAGGAAATAGATTTGGAAATCTGTATTTCACAGACTCACAGAAACACCAAGGCTCGAAAAGACCCATAAGATCATCCAGTCCAACCATTCATCTATCACCAAAAGTTCTCACTAAACCATATCCCTCAACACAAAATCCAAACGTTCCTTGAACACCTCCAGAGTCGGTGACTCCACCACCTCCCTGGGCAGCCCATTCCAGTGCCTGACCACTCTCAGAAAAGCAGTATTTCCTAACATCCAGCCTAAATCTCCCCCGGCGCAGCTTGAAGCCATTCTCTCTGGTCCTATCACCGGTTACACGAGAGAAGAGGCTGACCCCCAGCTCACTACAACCTCTTTTCAAGTAGTTATAGAGAGCAATGAGGTCTCCCCTGAGCCTCCTCTTCTCCAGACTAAACAATCCCAGCTCCCTCAGCCGCTCCTCATAAGCCCTGAGTTCCAGACCCCTCACCAGCTTTGTCGCCCTCCTTTGAACATGTTCCAGGGCCTCAATGTCTTTCTTGCAGTGAGCGGCCCAAAACTGGACACAGTACTCGAGGTGCGGCCTCAGCAGAGCTGAGTACAGGGGGACAGTCACTTTCCTATTCCTGCCGGCCGTTTCTAATGCAGGCCAGGATGCCATTGGCCTTCTTGGCCACCTGGGCACACTGCTGGCTCATGTTCAGCCGAGCATCAATCAATACCCCCCAGGCCCATTTCCTCTACTCAGTCTTCCAGACACTCTGCCTTGCATACACACACACACACAATGTTGGAAAACAGTTTGGACAGAAAGTTTACCATTCATCTGATGTATCAGAATATTAATGTATGTACTACTACAAAGCTGTGATGATGCACCGTTTGTAACCAACGGGAAGGGATAGGTAAAACATCCTCAAACCTGGCACTTCAGCCCACAATTGACTGTTAATTGCATAGCCTATAAACCAATATTATTCCTCTACAATAATGACATTATCAACATCTGCACAAGATCTTCAGCTACTGAAAAATCAATTCGGTAATTAATACTGAAAACAAACTCCTCGTTCTAATTTTGTTTACTTTCTTTAACTGATGGACAATCAAACCAGATTTTAAAGTATTGACAAATTAATTCAGTAGAAATAAATTACCTGGTATCTTTTCAGAAGAATACTTTAGGATGACATAAATCATTACCTAAAAGTATCTTCTTCTCTTCTTTCCTTAGAAGTCTTAGTAACTAGTTTGACTATTAGTCTCACTCCTTCAGAGAAATTTGCTCAGCCACCCCTAAAAGTATATTCTCAACCTAGACTCTCAGAACCAAAAGCTGTAGCAAAATTTATTAGCACTGTCACATTTAAAATTTAAAATACACATTAAAAAATAAGGTATTATAATACTTCTTACTAAATAGAAATATATTTTCAGCCACTACAGCTAAAAGCCATGTTTTCATTAACGTATGTTATGAGAAGTTTGCATGGACAGCATGCAAAATCCATGGAAAAAGTTCAAAATTTAGATATTATAGCAGTTGATTTCTTTTAATGGAATTGCTAACTATTTTCCTGCTTTGCACAGCATTCATGTTTTCATAGAAATCTATCTACTCCCACTCCAAGCTTTCCTCAAAATATAATGATGGCAAAGCAGAGTTTCTGAGCAGAGGCTTTCTGGCATCTTAGGTAAGGAAAGGTTTCATCTTCCTGTAACACAACAAAACATAATTTATCATGCTTTTCTTCTGTTTGTATCTCCTTTTATGAAGAACCCTTACTTAACCATCAAATTTGAAATACCTATTTGCCCTGAAGGACAAAGAAATGAAAAAAAAACTGTAAACTCTGCCATGTCCCTTAGCTACTTACACCTTTGCATGTTATATATTCTTATTTCCTCTGAACTTCATTTATAGATGAAGGTTATCTAAAGAAAACATATCCTATTGTGAGCCTGCCTTACATCTGTTTTGTTGAAGATCAAATTCTACAAAGCGTCAGTATTCAAAAGCAGATGATTACGATAATCTGCCCCTAATGAAAACATGGAACCAATGCTAACGTTTTTTAACTACAAACTTTTTAGAATCTTTTACTTTACAGAATGTATGCAATCATAGGCAGAAAGTAAAACATATTACATTTGCATGAAAGAAATACCTACAACTCATTTGACAGAAAGATTAACCAGAGATGTATCTGAAATGAACAGTCATTATACTATTCATTTAGTTTGTTCATTTTACTATATAGAATGTGCACTGCTTAGCAGAATTTTAGTTGTTCTGTTTCTTTCTTTAAAGGAAAGCTGCCACTAAAATATTTTCCTTTTAAAATGATTGTCTTGTTTTGCTTTTTGTTCCACAATTAACCTTTGTGCATGCTACTTTATTATCCTAACCACTCACACAGAAGTACCAGTACACTGTGATCACTTCCAAGCAGAGGTTCAAGTGGGGGCTAATGATGTCTTAAACTTTTACAGAGGAAAAATATGTCAGAGTTAGCGGCTGTGGTCTTGTGACACAATCAGAATGAAATGAACCTAACCAAAATGCCCTCAGAGACTTAGCTTCAATAACATTACATGCTGCTGTGAGAGAAAGGACAATCTAAGGTCACTTACTTTTACCTGGACGGTTTAGAAAATGTCATGTTACATACGTTGCTAGGATATCAGATTTCCTTGCTTTTAAAATGTTTGCTTTGACATTTCAATTTCTTATAATAAATGCAGCTCTCTCTATTGAAAGAAATATGAAATGGAAACAAAACCCCCAAACAGTAAGGGCTTGGTAGCATACCAACAGTTCTGAATTCTAGGTGAACAACTTGAGATGCATTGTAATAAAACAATTTCAGGAAGCATGTCTTTATAATGCTGAATTTTTCTAAGGGACGTAGACAGCAGTGTTAAAATGATACTTTATACCTAAATTCAAAAATCCGATGCACAAAACAAAATGTTGTCAATCTACTAAAATGGAATTCCTATTGACCTAACAGTGCTAGCTCCCTACGGAGATGAAACAAACTATCAAAGCAGATCACAATAAAATAGTGTGACTTCCAATGACTTTTAAATCACTGTGGACACATGACTGTGCTCATTACGTAACATGCAAATTTTGGAAGGTAACCACTACTTTTAGATTTCCGATTGAGATAATCTTTGTCATGGCTTTTTACACATCGAACTTCGTCAGCTCACTTACTGCAGTAGATACTCCATGTGCTACAATGCAAGGCTTCTGGGGAGTGAAACCTACAATGTATGGTAAATTTTGAAAATCCTGGCTAAACTGACCGTTAATCTCACCTAATAATTAAATGACAGATTTAAGAAAAGAATCAAAGTTTCACTATATTCATGCCTATCTATTAAGTGGTGCCTTCTCTAGATGATCACTAGAGGTGGGAGCAAGTTAACAGAACTGCAGTCTATATTTAGACATCGATTCTTCCATTTCATCAGAGACTATATTAAATGTCACATTCTGTTGCACAGTCAATTAGAGAGGTAAACACACACACAAAAAGAGTTTTCCTGCTGGTTTTGTTACCAGCACAGCATGGGATTGAAAAAAGAGATGGTACCCAGCCAGGAAAACAAGTGAGAGGAAGACTACAATAGTGCTGACTTAACTGTCTTTTCAGCCTTGAGTTAAGATGAAATGCAGATATAAACCAGTCAATTTTACATCGTGTGTAACATTAATGACAACTGTGGTTCTAACAAGTTAGTGGCATGAACACACATTTAAGTAAAGGAGATCTATAAAAGTAGCTGAAGTTTTTGCCTGCCACAGTAATAAGCTATAGTGAGGCAAAAAGTAAGAAACCCAGATAATTTTGAACCAAGTATTTGAGAATATAAAATTTTAAAGCAATTCTCAAGAAGACAGAAATATAACCTACAGACAATTCTTCAGCTCTTTTCAAACGACAAAACAACTATTTTAATCTTGCAGCTTTACCGGAGATGCAGCAACTCCCAATTATTATTAAGATATACACATCACTTCTAAAAGATGCTTCAATTAATAAATGATTATTTACAACATAGCCAATAAGTATAAGAAAACAAACAGAATAAATCCTACCAGGCATTTGTGTATTTTAATGTACACCCTTCCTATAACACTGTTTAGTATAGTTACAAGGCAATATTTGTCCATTGTTTCTCTTTCTGTTTTTTTACTTTAAGCAAAAAGACAGAATGTCAATATCTTCCCTAAAATAAATCAGACTTTCTATTAGGAGAAGGAGGAAGCAAAAGAGTGTTTTGTAACGGAGAGTCCTAAATTCAGTTTAGAACAGAACTGAATGTAAATTTAACATTGCAAAGTTTTGCACAGGCAAGCCAAATCTTTTGTATTGAGCAATGCTAAATCCGGAAGGCAGGTAATTAACTTTCAACTGTATAACAACAAATTAACTGTACTGCTACTGAGTAGACAAAGTTAGTCTTTTTTGTTCTTGTACATGTATTTCTATATTATTTGTTGTGTGTTTTCAAAGCTAAGTAAAATCTGATTGCTGACAAAATACTTCCATTAACAAGCTGTTCTTTTCTTTAGGATGACTGAGGAGCTTTTCATAATCCTACAGCAGCAGGACAGAAGCTTCTCAAGAAATCATTACAAAAACAATGTAAGAAAAGGTATGCAGTAGGGTATCTCCAGCAATCTGGAGTTCACAACATAATTCTCTCTTTCTCTTGTGGTTCATATTTCAACCATTGCCATACATACTCTGTTATTACACCATCAGTACAAGCAACAGAAAGATAAAAAGATTTTATATAAGTAGCAGGGAACACTATTAAAGAATCATTTTTTGTTTATCAACTAACTATCTTAATATTTAAACCAATAACTGTGAGATAAAGTAGCTTAAGTAACCACCATATGTACTGTAGCCTATCATCTCTTCTGTATCCCCTGCTGAAATCATTTTATATGGAATAAAGATCATGAGGCTTTCAACTTGAAAAATCAGTGTTTCTCATACCTTTTGTTTGATGATCATGTCGTTGATATCATCAAGATCTCCTACTGTCACTCTCTGAGCTTTAATCTCTCGATCCAGTCTAGAAAGCCAGTCAGTGAGTTCTGCCCATGCCTTATTGAAGTCAGCTAAGGCTGGAACCTCCAAAAGCACAGAAGATGGCATTTCTGGTGTGAAGCTGGTGGTTTCCTTGGTTACCCTGGTTTGTGTATCCACAGCAACAGTTTGACCAGAAGTTACTGAAAAAAAAAGATTACTGAATAAATGAATTATCATGTTTATTTCAGAAACAGAAATTATGCATTAGAAAGGGTTATACAGGAATAATCTCACTGCTTTGCTATTATGTTTACTGGAAATATGAAAATTAAAATTAAATGAATATATGAATTCATTTTTCCTTAGTATTCCTACTATACTATATCTTTAATATTCAGCAATCTCAGCAGATTTGAATTTCATCCTGGGTCTTAGTAACACAAAAAAATGTATCTCAATATAATGAGAACACTCACTCAAGGTCATTGTAGAATCTCTAAACATGACTCATCTTCCAGAATCCAGCAGTGGGGTTGAGTAGGCTGTAGTATCTAGTTTATCACAGCACAACCACGTATCTAGAAACACGTTTCCTCTACGTTCTCCAGGTACCCTGTAGCTATGAATTTGTCTCAGTGACAATCTTCTCACTTTCTGTTATTAGTCAGTATTTCCCCTAGGCTCTGTGACTGACTTCTGCTTTCACAAAAAATTCAGCCTTGGACAATTCTCCCATAGTAAAATCATGTGTTATAATGTGAAAATTAGTTAAATTTCTTCCTTCTGTTTGAAGAAAATGGGCACATCTTTTGTGCCCTTTCTTGATTTAAAATAGCTGGATTTTAAAGAATCAGTGGATTATTCTGTGCTTGGCTTGAGATGCTAAACCAACTAGAAGTGAAGAGTCTGAATACCCACTTCTTGATGCAGTTTCTATCCGAATCAACTATCTAAACAACACAACTAAACATGAAAAGCTGAAAAAAAGCAGTGCAGAGTGCCATCTGCATAAAGAGACCATGAGTCTTCTAACACCAAACTGCAAAACGTGGTTATGTTCATGTTTTATGGTTATGAACATGGTTCACCTGTGTTTTTCCAGTCTCTTTACAGAGTGGAGAGAACCAATTTCCTGTTAGATGGTCCTTAAGATGAGGAAAAGAAGAAAAAAAAAAAAAAGCATTTGCCCATACACAGTAATGAGGTTTGGGGTTTTGGGGCCCCCCCCCCCCCCTTTTTTTTTTTTCCTTTTATGCCATTCAGCAAAGTACGTCTGAAGTCAAAAAATG